TGTCAATATGGACCAAAATCTCTGAGGAATGCTTCCAGCACCTTGTTGAATCTATGCCACGAAGAATTGAGGCAGTTCTGAAGGCAAAAGGGGGTCCAACTCGTCACTAGCGTGGTGTACCTAATAAAGTGGCCGGTGAGTGTAAAACAGCCTGGCCTAGCTGTGTTCTGCTTTAATAAATTATTATTTCAACCTTAAGTGTCAAAGTATTACATTGTAAATATGTCAATGTAATCAGTTACCTTGCATGTTGAATTGTCTGCTGTTTGACACTAATTTATGATCTCATAATGCATCACAGCATCTTATTTTCTTTAACTGAAGGATCTAAACTGTGTTCGTGTTTTAGAACCGTCCTGAGATGCTCCAGATCGAACCTCTGCGCAGCCTTCTTCGTGATAAATGGCAGAGATTTGCTTCCAAATTATTCCTCATGAATTTGGGGATTTATTTGATTTACCTGACCATCTTCACCACTGTGGCTTTCTACAGGAGGGACGGACAGGTAAGGCAGAGACGTGGATGTAATTACATAATCTATCCATAAACAATGTGTTACCATCTTTATGAGACTCCAAATCTTTTTTACCCACAGCCACCATTTCCGATAGAAACCCCTCCAGATGACCACCTCCGATGTGTCGGTGAGATCATCAGTCTCCTCGGAGCTGTCTGGTTTCTCTATAAGACGGTGAGACATTCAGCTAATAAATCACACATGAACAAGTTCAACTTCGTTGTGTTAATATGTCTGATTTTTGTATCTTTAGATTAAGATCTTCAAACGAAACCCTCCAAACATTAGAGCTCTGTTTACTGATGGATTCAGTGAAATTCTGTTGTAAGTTTTTATTCTGAAGATAAAAAAGGAAAAAAAAAGAAAAACTCACAGCTTAGATGCTTCTGGTCAGAAACGTCAATTAAATGTATTGAGACGAGACGAGACGAGATGAGATGAGACACAGCATGCCATGAGATGGCATGACAAGGACATGGCATGGGATGAGATTAGTTGACAGGACAAGATGAGAGTAGTAGCTGAAATGACATGATATGAGATGTGATTAGTTTGATAACATGACATGAGATTAGATGAGATAACTTCACATGAGATAAGATTAGTTGAGATACCATATCATAAGATGGTATGATATGGACATGACATGGAGTGAGATTAGTTGCGATGACCTGATTTGATATGCAATTAGTTGAGATGACATGAGATTTGTTGAGTTAACGTGACATGATATGAGATTAGTTGAGCTAACCTAATATGAGATGAGATTAGTTAAGATAACTTGACATAAGATGAGATTAGTTGAGATAACTTGACATGAGATGAGATTAGTTGAGCTAACTTGACATTAGGTGAGTTTAGTAGAGCTAACTTAGGTTAGTTGAGATAGCTTGACATGAGATGAGATTAGTTGGGATAAGTTGACATGAGGTGAGATTAGTTAAGCTAATTTGACATAAAATGAGATTAGTTGAGGTAACCTGACAGATGAGATTAGTTGAGATACCTTGACATGAGGTGAGAATAGTTGGAATAACTTGTCATGAGATGAGTTTATTAAAGCTGACTTGACATGAGATGAGATTTGTTGAGATACCTTGACATGAGATGAGTTTAGTAGAGATAACTTGACATAATATGAGTTTAGCAGAGATAATTTGACATGAGATGAGATTAGTTGAGATAACTTGACAAATGAGATTAGTTGAGATACCTTGACATAAGATGAATTTAGTAGAGATAACTTGACATGAGATGAAATTAGTTGAGTTAACTTGACATAAGGTGAGTTTAGTTGAACTTGACATGAGACGAGTTTAGTAAAGCTAACTTGACATGGGATGAGATTAGTTGAGATACCTTGACATAAGATGAGTTTAGTAGAGATAACTTGACATAAGATTAGATTAGTTGCGCTAACTTGACATGAGGTGAGATTAGTTGAATTAACTTGACATGAGATGACATTAGTTGTGATAACTTGACATAAGATGAGTTTAGTAGAGATAACGTGACATGAGATGACATTAGTTGAAATGATTGATGTGAGATTAGTTGAAATAACATGACAAGATGAGAAGACAGTTGACATAACGTGGCATGAGATGAGATTTGTTGACATGAAGTGATAAAAGTAGCAATGATTTGAGATGCAATTAGTTGAAATGAAATGACAAATCAACTAAGATGATGTGAAATGAGATTAGTAGGGATAACTTGACATGAGGTGATTAGTTGACATGACGAGATGAATTTAGTTGATATGACATGAAATGAAATGGCATGACATGCACAATTACATATCATGACACGGCATGACCATTTACTGGTAGCAGCAATAAAACCAATAGATAAAGCGTGATAACATAGAACTAAATAACTATTTATTGACTGGATTCATTTTTTTTGTCAGTTTTATAGCAAATTCTAAACAAAGAATATGAACGAGAAGGCATACAGAGACAGGTGTGGAGGCACACAAAACAAATTTGAGTCCGGCAGCTTAAAATGTAACAAAAAACTGAAAGTCGTTTCTTTGCCGAGTTGAGAACCAGGACTCTAAATGGTTAATTTGGGTCAACCATGTCTGTAGCAAAGGTTAAGCTGCTTTTACTAAGTTCTATGTCCCAACAACAAGTAACCTGGTGTAGTATTAGAGTTGAGATACAGCTATATCTGTTTTCAGTTTCCTGCAGGCAGTCCTCCTCCTGGTTGCTGCCTTGCTGTACTTCATTGGGCTGAGGGAATATGTCGGGCCCCTGGCCATCTCTCTGGCGCTGGCCTGGATCAATGTTCTGTATTACACAAGAGGATCCAGGCAGCTGGGGATTTACAACGTCATGATGCAAAGAGTAAGAGTCCAAGATGTTTGAGCGAAACTCTGATCTTGTTTACAGTTTTCTTTTCTCTTCAGATGATCCTGGGTGACCTCCTACACTTTCTGTGTGTCTACAGCATCTTGCATTTTGGATTTTCTGCTGGTAAAACTTCGATTTATAGATTCAGTCAACAAAATATAAAGTTTACAGCTTCCAACCTGAATTTTATTTTATTTTTTCACCTGCAGCTGTTGTTACTCTGATGGTTGACTCACCCGTGATTATGAAAAATGACACTGTGGCACAAGAATGGAGTCTGAACGTTCAAACGTTCACGTGCAGGAAGCCCAGTTACAGTGACATCCGTTTCACGATGCTGGAATTGTTCAAGTTCACGATCGGAATGGGAGATCTGGAATTTACCGACCACGTCCAGTACAAGGAAGTGTTTAACGTCCTGCTCATCTCGTACATCGCTCTCACCTACATCCTGATGCTCAACATGCTCATCGCTCTGATGGGCAACACGGTCCAAAAGATCTCTGAGCAAAGCGAGACCATCTGGAACCTGCAGGTAGGAACGCCTGCAGATTTGTCCTTTAGCTTGTCGCACTGCTTTCAAATCATAAAAAAATAAAGCTAATTATGTGGAAAAGGAAATTCACAAAATAACTGCATGAGAAAAACAAATGTTATACATTTGGGATTTTAGTGAAACGAGAAAACCAAACCCAGCTCATTTTTATGTTTTTTATAGACTTTTACTTTTAAATGTCTAAAAAAACCATAAAATCTTTGCAAACAAGCATCTTATTTCCTCAACTTTTTTTGGTCATACAGATTAAAAATCAACAATAAGTGGTTTTTTTTTTTTTTTTGTCTTTTATCACTCAGCATGTCTCTCTGCTGCAGGACTTTCACACATTTTAGCTACATTTAACCTCAAAGTTTTTTTTTTCTCTAAAACCTAAAATGAAGAATCCTTTTTATTTTTTGGTATCTCCTACATAAAACACAGTAAAACCATAAATTCACATGTATGACCATTAGAGTTCTTTGATGTTCAGGGTCCATTTGTGACTCAACTCATGTTTTTTTTAAACCCCCCACTGTTTGTTTAAGGCTCCTTCTGTCTGCCTCTCTCAAGTTTGCAGGGAGTGACAAACACACATTGAAAAAACAAACTTTTGGGTGTAGTAACATTTATTTAATTATTCTTTTAAATTTTACAAAAAAAAATCAAAATCTCTAAACCACTAGAATTTACTAAATAAACAATATGCATTATATTATATATCAATATTAATGTACAAAAAAAGTAAATGCTAATATTATTTTACCAGTAATGTTTAAGTGCTTTTTCTGGACAGCACATAAACAGTAACTTCTACTCTTCTGGGCTAAAACTGAAAGTGCATGCACACACAAAGGCTGCTGCTCCTCATTCCCTTGCTTCACTTTTCAAGGAGAGGACAAGACATGGTCAAAATAAAACATAAGTTGTCTGGTTTCTTTTGCTTGAATACATTTGTTGGTGTGCAATAGTTTGATGGCATAATGTGGGTAATATTTAGTTGTCAGGGAACAGGGAATGCATATTGTAGCATTCTGCTGTGTTTGGCTGTTTGTCATGTGACTGCAGTGGAGGATTATGGGTAGGATTCATGTTTGTTGTTGTTAAATCATTTTAGGGAATTGTTTAAAATTGTTCTTTCAGCATTTAGTCTGTTGTTACTCTAATTTGTGTGTTCATTATTTGTTAACTTGTGTTAAACTGTTCATCAGAAGTAACCATAAGTGAGAGTGGTAGGCCTAGTCATTAATAAGACCTGTGAGTTTCACTTTGTCTGTGTTGTTCATGAAGAAGAATCCAATAAAGGTTCTTCAAAACAACAACAACAACAACCACCACCACCCACCTGGTGGTGAAGTCTTGAACTACAACATGAGCTACACCTTTATCTGTAACTGTGAGATGTCATGCTACAATAGTGTGTTTGATGCATGTGCACTGTTATAAAAAACTTGTAAGATTTACTTTAAAAATCTTTCGTAAAAATTTGCACTATTGTTTGTTTGTTAAGTAAATTTAAATGCTACAAACTCATGTAATATTTACTCATCATTATCTAGTAAAATTTATTAAGAATATAGTTATAGATTTTTGAATAAATCAGGTAAATTTTACTTAATCTAATTGATCAAATTAAGTAAAATTTACCTGATTTATTCACAACTCTTTAACTCTATTCTTAATAACTTTTACTAGATAATGATGAGTAAATATTACATGAATTTGTAGCATTTAAATTTAGCTTAACAAACGATAGTGCAAATTGTTACAAGGATTTTTTTCTAGTAAATCTTACAAGTTATTTTTTCAGTGCAGGTTTGTAGTTACCATAAGTGACTGACATCACCTTCAACGTTTCAGATTTAACAGTTCTCTTTCCTTTTCTTGTTGTATTCAGTTTGGACAATAGCTGCATTTAAAATAATCAGTCTTTTCAGAAATGTTCTAGTTTCAAACCCAGCTGGTCGAGGCTGATGGTTCTGGTTCTGCTGGAGGTTTCTTCCTGTTCAAAGGGAGTTTTTCCCTCTCCACTGTCACCAATGTGCTGCTCAGGATGGAGGATCAAAATAAAAACAAAACTTGACATGCTTAAATCACTTTTGCAAACCGGTTGAATTATGTCCTCAGAGAGCCTTCACGATTTTGGACATGGAGCAGGACCTTCCCAGGTGTCTGAAGCGTAAGCTGCAGTCCAGAGGGTCGGAGATCATCTGCTTAGGAAAAACCCAGGACAGATGTCGAAGATTTGTTAGGTAGGAACAAAACAGTGTCCTCCTCCAAACCTGGTCCTGCAGGGCCACGATCCTGCATCTTTTTGACACGCCTGATGGAAACAAGCAGGCTTAACAGGCTTCTGCAGAATCTGAAACAGCTTAAAGATGCAGGATACCTGTCCTGCATCAGGAGATTCAGGATCCAGATAACACCGATTTGTGTCCAGTCCAGTCACACATAAAATAAGTCACTCATGTGACTTATTTTATCATCAGAACATAAACTATAAAATAATAAAAAAAAAATATTTTTTTAAATCTGGAGTTTTATTTTCCTAATGTTAAGAACCAGAAAGTGTTTTTGTTCCTCAGTTATATTGGTATCTCTTGAAACGTAAAACCTTAAAATATAAATTTTTATTTACATGATTGTATACATGATACTTAACAAAAAAAATCTAATTCCTGGTGTTTGAGGTGAAATTTAAATGTAAAAAATTAAAAACATTAGTGTTAGTTTTATTAAAGATTGTGCAAAGATCTCATGGAGACCCTTAAAAACAAAGGATTTGTTAAATAAAAACTGAGTTTTCTCCTCAGTATGTTCTGTATGAAGCTCTGTCACATGTTTTGTCTCGTGAAGCTTTTCCAAAGTGACACATGATCACTGACTCTTTTTTCTTCAGGGTGACTGAAAAGAATTGGAAAAAATGGAGGTCTGATGTTGGAGTAAAGCTGAATGAAGACCCTGTGAATCCTGTAATGGAAGGACAAGCTGAAGCTGAATCTCCTGGTAGGACTACAGTCCACACATTTAAAGTTTATTTCCACTAATGTTGTTAAGAAGTTGATGTTTAACCCTTTAGGGACTCCGTGGAACATAAATCAGCTTATGGAGAGGATTTGGAGTCGTCGACACCAACAGCAGCAAAACCACGTTCTCTAGCTCCAAATCTTTTTTTTTTTTTAATGGAAGCTTTTTTTTATTTCTTGAAATAACCTGTAATTAATGCTCTCTTAGAAAATGGAGGACAATCAAATCTCCACTACACTGCTAGTTTTCAAAATATTTTTTCACATATCTTATATATATTTATACAATTTATATTTTATTCATTTTATTTGTGCAACAATGAACATGATTAATGAACAAGTTTTCATCTGTTTGTTGCTGGATGTTAGTTTAATCTAAAAAAACTAAATAACATTGAAAAACACTAAGAACTAACAACACACAAAAGCTTAGAATAACACATAAACAAAATGAAAAATAAATCAAAATATTTTACAAACATTGATAATGGTCACAAGTTTGATTTTTTTAGTGATATGTTTATTTTTAATTTGGCATAAGTGTATAAAGTGTAAGTTTCCATAATGCATTTATTACATTTTTAGAAAATATCATTTGTTGACATATTTTAATGTTCCATACAAGACTCTTTATATTAAAATAACAAAGCAAAAATTTAACTTTGTGTGTGTGCTAAAATTGTACATATTTACGTTAGGTTTGATATACTGTTAAATAAACTGATTCGATGTTGTCAATAAAAATAAAATAAAATAACAATAATAAACACTGTTGACTTTTTGATCAGGCGCTCTGCTGGGTGCTGGGGTCCTTCCCTCTCTGCGCATGCTCAGTAAAATGTTGCTGCCGTAGCTAGACAGCAGCACGGAGGAGCAGCTAGACGGAGGATGGTTTCTTGTTTTTTTTTATTTAAGGCTGTCAGTAATATAACCTGACAAAATGAAGTTTCCCAACTCCTAGCTTGGTGAGGAGTAAGTATGATAATCTTTAAAAAAGGCGTCGCCGCTGTTTTTTCTGTCAATGAAAAGTTGAAGCTAAGCACTTGGCCTGGTCACAACAAGCACAAAGAAGCTGCTTATTGTGCTTGTTGACTCGAAGTAACCTTTCGGTCGATATACTTTTATCATTTTTGATTTAATTTGATCGAATATCGTCACATTGTTTATGCTTAAGAATGGGAGTAGGCTAAACTGAATTTAATAGATCGACATCAGTGTTAGCTAGCTATTTGAATCTACAACATTAATCCTGTGTATAATAATGTGGCTAACGTTGGTTAGCTGTTCTCAATGATAACTCAGGCTATTTAAACGTGTTCAGGGATTAAAGCGAAGGTTTTACAGAGAATGACGTCATGAATGATTGATGGCCTTCTGCTCAAAATGTCGCATTATAAATCTGTCAGATCCCAGAGGGAAATTCACTAATAATCCAGTGGCATCTTATTATATGAAGTCCTTAACCTTAAATAATCACTTTAACCTTCATTTTTTTTATTCTCTCCATGCTGTAGTCACAGCTGGGAGGAGTTATAAGGCTTTTATGGATGAGTTGTTAGGACTTTCTGTTTCACATGGTGGTGTCGGCAGTCTGTCACGGAACACACTCCTTTGCCTGATGATCCTGCTTCACAGATGATGCTGGGTGTTGTCCAGTTTGGTCAGCAGCTTCTTCAGGGTCCTCCCCTCAGCTACAGTTCCTGCTGAGTCCAGCTCTATGCCCACAACAGAACACAACATTTAATTTTTTTCATTTTGACAACCGTCACTCCACTTCTTCCTCTCTGTGATTCAAATAACTGTTGTTTTATTGCTTAAGTGAAAGAAAATGGAAGAAAGGGGGCTTTGGATAAATGCCCACACACATTTTTCAGCTGAATCCAAAAAGCCTTTAATACGTTCAGCCATAAAGCTTTTACATGCGTCTCAGCACGGGAAGTGAATAAGTGATGAATCATAGTGTGCAAATGGGTGATGAATTATTGCAGTAGATTGCAGTGATTGGATGAATGAAACGTAAAAAAGGAGAGGCTCTTGCACATCTCTGGAAATATATTTTAAGCAGTTCCGTAAAGTGCTCTTTTAACAGAGCCGTATACATTTTGATTCAGACCCAGCGCTTCAGTTTTTATCTGAAACTAATTAAATTTGGGCATGAACTGCTGGGTTTGAATATGGAAGCTTGTTGGCTCGCATCCCGCCATCATGCTGCTTTATTTGTTACTTTGTTCTTGAAAAAAAAGGTTTTTATTATCTCCATGTTGGCTGTTTACTGACTACCGTGTGCACACAGAATGCTTTTACACAGTCATTTCAGTTTATTACAAGCTGCAATTTGCAAAAGGTCAGACTGAGCAGGATGTAAAAAATCTGTCAGAGGGAAGTCATTTCACACCACATGTGAGTGACTGTCTGCGGCTGATTCCTGCTTGCTCTGTTTGTTTCCAGTATGATGAGAGGAGCCTGTCCAATGCAGCAGTAGCGGTAAAGTGACATGCTGGCTTGTTTGCCAGCATCAGGTGACCCTACCTTCAGATTTCTTCCTCGCACGCAGATGAACACTGGACTTCAGAAATGTAAGTACTTGTAATCATCTGTTAGCAAAATATCTCATTAAGCACTGGATGTATTTTAAAGAAATTCACAAAGTAATCATTAGATCTACAACTAATTAACTTTGAATCGACTCATTTTAAGATGTCCACCACAGCTAATTGATCTTAGTAAACAAAAATGGGTTTAACTTGATCATTTTTACTAATAGAGCTCAGACAGTGGCTGTGTCTTAATTCTTGGGTTGCAGCTGACATTGGCTGCTTACGTCACTGCCCCACGCCGTAGGCTGTCCTGATTCGTAGGTGCCTACTCATGCAGCCGACAAATGCAGCTGACAAAACCCTGAAAACATTGGCTGCATCTGAGTATCCTACGCAGCCGACTGTGTTCCACAACTCAGAGTCGTCAATTAAACAGAAAAACAAAAACAACAAAGGTTTTATTTTAATTTTACGTTAAGAGTTTATTTATTTATTTATTTCCATATGACTTAGTTTGGAAATTTATCACTGACTGAAGAATGTAAGTTAAGCAACTTAGCTGCAGAAAGTTTAGTTACAATAAGATATTAAAGCGATCCATGATTAGTTGTAACATTAGACTTTGTTCGATAAACATATAACTGTAAAATAAAGACTGTAAAAATACTGTAGGCTGTTTAGTTTTGTAAATTTTTAAAAATATATTTTAACATGGACGGGCCATTTTATTTACACACAAAGCATTCTGAGTAAATGATGACGTGGATAGGTCCTCGGTGAGAGGCTGCTAGCGAGCTATATCCACCCTGAAGGTTAATCTTGGACAATATCTGATGATCGACTCTTTTAAATGAAACCAGAGAGCGTTGACAGAGAGGAGAAGGTAGAAATGACTCAGCCTGTAACTGAAAATATGGATGGAGGACAACAGAGCTGCTTCATGGAAGAAGAACCTTAGCTTAGCATTTTTATTAAAAAGCACTTTAAACAGCACAAGGACAACCAAAGTGCTGTACAATAGACAGACACAACAGGACAAAGCCAAAATACAGTCAGAATACAGAATACTAATGTAGTATTACATCTAGGGTTGGGTGATAAATTGATTTAATCGATTAATTCGAATTTGCCATTTCTAAAGATTTTATTTTGGGAAAATCGAGATTTTTTTCCCCACACCACCAGTGCACTCTTTGGGGCTTCTGTAGTTCAGAGGTCACCCCACCTGTCCCTCAAGACACTTGGTACACAACATGACAATACAGCAGCTAGCAAAGAGGACCTACTTCTCAACAAAGGCACCTTTTCTTCAGTTTTCTGGAACTGGTTAGGTTTTGTAACCTCGGACTTGGAGTCCTAATGCATCTCAGTAATCCAGGTAAAAAATCAAAAAGAAAAAAATTGTAAAGGTATTCTGGACGGGTTCTTCTCTAATGAAACGTTTCGTCTCTCCTCCAAGAGACTTCTTCAGTCTGAGAGTTTCAGGCAAAATTCAGGCTTTTAAGCACTGCCTCCATGTGACTGATACTCACATCACATGGCTATCGTTGACACCTAATTAACACCTATTGTTAACGGGTTGGAGTGATACTGGCAATTGCAGCACAGTAGGAGGGGGACAACTGAAAACGGAGGCCTCTTGAACAGTGGCTGCTTTGTTTCCCCGATGTATAACTGGTCGCAGTCCTCCTGGCACTTAACAGCATATACAACATTGCTCTGTTTGTGCCGGGGCACCGGACCTTTGGGGTGAACCAGCCTTTGCCGTAATGTGTTTTGGGGTTTGAAAGCCACTGGGACATCATGTTTAGAAAATAAATGTCTCAGTTTCTCCAAAACACCCGTAACATACGGAATAACCACTGGTTTGGGTCTGGGTTTGGGGTCTTCATTTTCACCTGAAGGTTGCATGGAGTCCAGTCTGTGTTTCCTGTCTGCTTTCAGGAAAGCCCAGTCAGGATAACCACACTGCTCCAGGGCCTGTCGTGTGTGTGATTTCTCTTTCTSCCTGGCTCCTGGGTTTGTAGGGACACTGTCTGCTCTGRGGTACAGAGTCCTGATCACTCCTAACTTGTGTTCCAGTGGGTGGTGGGAGTCAAAACYCAAATATTGGTCTGTGTGGGTGGGCTTACGATACACGCCAGTTTCCAACCGTCCTCCATCCGAAACCGAGACATCGCAATCCAGGAACGCCAACCTGCCATTTTTTACATCCTCTCGTGTGAACTTTATATATTCATCCACAGAGGACTTGGAGCAACGAATACCTCACTGCAAACACTGTTTGAAGGCTCTTGCTACAAAAAGCAGGAGAACAACAAATTTGTTTTTGACACCTGAAACAGAGGCACTTCTTTAAGTGGGAAGTAAAATCGATTAAAATCGAATTTGGAATGAAAAAAAATTAGATTTTTGGGGGAGCATATCGCCCAGTCCTAATTACATCTGAATCAAATATGGAAGTTACATTCATGGATGAAACAACTGTTAGCCAGCCTGTAATCAGTTTGGTTCTTCAGATTTACTGTCCTCACATCTCAAACCACCGTTACTTTGGTTGAAAGAGTCCAAAGACTTTAAAGATCGTGGTTCTTTCATAGTGTCGACACTGTTTTGGGGGATTAAATAATTTACAACATTGATGTTGCATGACTGAGAGTCCAGCTCTGCATGTATTTATTCTTTGTCCTCCTCGTATCTCAATAACAACAAATCTTTCCTTCATAGCTTTTTAATGATAATTATCCTTTGAACCACTATCAAAATGGTTAGCTTCCTGTTTAACTAGCTTCTGGCCCAGTTTTGTGGAAACTATCTGTTGTATTGTATTGTGCCGTCTAATCTCTGACTCTGTCCACATTTAAGGGGAAACTACACAGAAGATGCGATCTGCCATCTATCCAACCCCAGCAGAGTTGGATGCCTATGCTAAGAAAGTTGCCAACAACCCTTTGACCATCCAGATCTTCCCCAACAGTGTCAAAGTTCCTCAGAGGAAGCACATCCGTCGCACAGTCAACGGGCTCGACACGTCCCTGTCCAGCCAGCGTCACAGTCCCTACGCTTCTCAGGTCACCACCAGAGGGGGCCTGCTGGCTGTCCTCCGTGCACCTATCAAGACTTTTGTCAAAGAATCACACAACAGTCGCACTCGGCAGCAACAAAAGTCAGCCATGAACCCTCAAAGCGGGCCGTACGCTGCTCAAAGCACTTTAAATCTTCCTCATGCTGCTCCTCACTTAGCCGGCCCCTCCCAGCCGGCCGCCCAGAAGCAGGGGATGGTCCACTCGCAGGCAATACAGCACCAGACTATGACTCAACCCATGGCTCTGCAGCACCATCACCCACATGCTTTACAGCAGAGGGGCATGGCCCACTCTGAAGCACTACAGCGGCAGCAGAGCATGACCCAGGTTCAGAGATTGGCTCACCCCCAGGCTCTGCAGAGGCAGCAGAGCCTGCCTCACAGCCAGGCCCTGCAGCAGCAGCAGGGTCAGTCTCTCAGCCAGGCCCTGCAGCAGCAGCAGGGTCAGTCTCACAGCCAGGCCCTGCAGCAGCAGCAGGGTCAGTCTCACAGCCAGGCCCTGCAGCAGCAGCAGGGTCAGTCCTGTGCGTCAGTCCTGCCACAGCAGCATCTTTCTCATGTGCAGACACTGAAGCACCCGACGGCTCCTCCACAAGCTGCACTGACTCAGCAGGGAGTGACTCAGGATTTGCGCCACCTGTCTGATGGGGGGCCACACCCCCAGGGGCTCGTCAGCTTGCAGGCTCTTCCCCACGCCGTGCCTACAGGCCCCGCCACTGTGTCCAGCAGCCTCCAGCAGCCCCCGACGGGACAGTACGGATCGCGGAAGCTGCCCGACGTGGACTCGCCTCCAAACGTAACAGTATCTACCTCCACCATACCGCTGTCCATGGCGGCCAGCCTGTACCAGAACCGTGTGGGTGACCTGAGCAGCATCGTGCAACAGATCAACCAGCTGTGCCAGGCTCGGGCCGGCATGGGCGCCACCTCGGTCTGCGAGGGCCAGATCGCGAACCCCAGCCCCATCAGCCGCAACCTGTTGATCAACGCCAGCTCTCGGGTGTCCTCTCAGCACTCGGGTCTGGGCAACGGCTCCAGCTGCCTCATGGGGGGGCATCCGGACAAAGCTGCCGCTCAGACCCCCGGCGGCACGCTCCACTCGCAGCCTGCTGCAGCCGCTCCTAACAGCGCGGCTGCCTTTCACGCAGACAGCGAGAAGGTGCAGCTGCAGCACCACTTACACCAACAGAAACAACAACAGCTGCAGCAGCTGCAGCAGCTGCAGCAGCAACGCTCCTGGGCTCAGCATCAACTGGCCCACATGCAGCAGCCCCCCGAAGGAGTCCACCCCTGCAAAAACCCAAGGATGGAGCCTCCCATTGAGTGTGCGTTTCCATCTCAAAACCTCAGCTATGCCCACAAGCTCCCCAACGCCGCCCAGGGCTTCCCTCTGAAACATCCCACTGAGAAGACCCACCCGTCCCCCACTGTGACCTGCCCCGCAGCATCGTATGCTAACGGGCACTACATGCAGCCCCCATGGAGCGGCATCCCCACCACCGCTGGGAACAATGGAAATGTTCAGGACCTCCCGGCGGCCTACCAGGGAGGCCAGGCCGCCTCCACAAATCGCATCCCGGGGGCAAAATACCGGCCGGGGAAAGAAGGACCCCCCGGCCAGTCGAAGCTGATGCAGCGGGTGGATTTCTTAAACGAGGACTTCCACCTGCCCAGCTTACAGGATCAGAACCTGGATATGATCCAAAAGATGCACAGGTCTGCTATGGGCCAGGTTAAGGAGCCCGGCAGCAGTGGGAGTGTCCACCACCCAGGCTACCATTAAAACCTGTTTATTCCTCATTTGTCTTCTTGATTAGCACTTTCAGTTTCTGTTGTGTTCTTTCAGCGATCAGGTAGATGTTATTGCTTCAGAGCTGGATTGGACCCGGTGATGGATTGATCTGTGCACCTCTCGGTCCAGCTCCTCCCTGAACAAGAGGTTTTTGTTTTTTAAAGGAAAGGAACGAGCTTCATTTGGAAAAACCCACAAGGCTGTGATGTTTTCTAGTATTCCTCAGGTCTGAAGCCACGCTGTACCTTTGTTTAAAAATGAAGGTTTTATTTCATTAGAATTTAATTCCCTTCATCACTGCTCCTGAATCTGTAGCTTTTATCGTGTTTGTCTCACGATTGTCACAATGCTTTCCTTCGGTTGACAACTTTTATCGGCACTTGTGGCCTTACAACCACCTGAAGGCAGACTTTATGGTGTCCTGGTGTTTCGTTGCAGTTCTAACCTCTGCAGGTTCTGACCCGTTTGAAGGTTACATATTTATGCAATGAGTCTCTGGAAGCTTCTGGACCGAGGAGCTGCTTGTTGCCGGGTCTGAGTGTGAGTCATCATCACATCGCCACATCTGAGAGTTTAGTTTTAAAAATTACCTCCTCTTTTTGTGGGGGGAGGTAATACTTCATGAATTGCTTTTAAAATAGACGTTTTATTCTATTTTCTGTTTCGTCGTCATCGATTTGTAGCTTGCCCTACTTGAATTGTGAGAAATTATTTGTAAATGTTTTAGCGTTCGGCACGAGGAGCAGAGACTCTTACTGGCCCGTATTTATAGTCAATGTGAACCGGAAGGCGTCCTGTTGTTGGAACGGTGTGTGTTTGTGTGCGAAAAGCAGGGAAAAGGCTTCATTTCCCGCCTCGCTCCCGACGAGTTTCATCACCACTTTTCTGCTGTAACACAAATGTGATGTGGACATTTTTTATTGTGGCTTTTTGTGACCTGTTTATCTGGCACCACTCAGTTTTATTTGTGGTATCTATAAAACATTTATTCCAGGACATTATTTCAAACATAACTAGCATGAATCGACCCGTCACCTTCGTTTATTCGTTTTTTTCCTTCAGGTTGATTTACTGTCCTCAGGCCTTCTGGGGGGAAAAAAGCCTTAAATGCCATGTTATATTCTACTCAATACTTATTTATACTGTGTAACTGAGCTTCTTAGTCAGGATTAATATGCCTTTATTGTGAGAGAGTGCTTACTCAAACTGTAGATGGGGGTTATTTGGATGAACGGATGATTTTGCCTTACATGGAATTATCACGGTAACGCCACTTATGCCCGTCGATAAATCACTCATCCTGTTGTCTGAAATGTTACGTCGAGGATTTAAGATGTTTTTAAAGAAAGTAAAAATCATAGCGTTTAGAATAATGAATAGGTATTTAGGTAGCAGTTCTTTTAAAATATTTATTTTCTTTTTTGGTTTACTTCATAAACAACCTGGTGTAGTTTTTAATTTATTTTATTTTCTGTGGAACTTTGCCTCCTGAAGCCATAGGTGTTCATGCAGGAAGTAGTTTTTTTTTAATAAAACGCAAGCTCTTTCAACTTCACCAGATAAACAGTACAGGTTAATAAAAGGGAGGAAGAACGGCAAAGTAAAATGTCATCTTCAAATTAAAGCAAGCACCTTTATTTTGGTGTTGGTGGCAGTTTATTTGTCTCGTCCCGCCTCTCGTTTTTAACGTGCCTGTCCCTGGAAGCTGCTGCTGAATCTAATCAACACACACTACCATGATTCGTGTGTCTTTAAATAATAATAATAATAATGAGGATGTATCATTGGAAAAAGGGTTGTATTTATTTGATGAACACGGGGCGAGTTTGTGTTCAGCCATATTGAGAGATTCTTCTGTAAATAACTGACCAGTATTCAAAGTGGGTGAGTGATTTAAAAAAACAACAAAACGTGACCCTCTGAGCCCGTTTGGGTTCCCCAACATCAGACAAGTGAAAACACTAAAGGAGTTGTGAACTGCCTCATTACAGTCAGGTTCTACAGTTTCATATGAAGTGCCTCCACTGGGCTTTAGTATGGAGAAGAGTGTGTGTGTGCACGCGTGTGTGTGTGTGTGTGTGTGTGTGTGTGTTAAGCTTGGGTACTTGCACACAGGTGTGCATGCTGACAAAAGGTCCACAAAGTGAATCTTTGATGTGGGGTGTCTGAGTAAGTGTGTGTGTGTTTGTGTGTGTTGGGTGGGGGGGACCAAGCTACTTAGTGTAACTACTGATACTGTGTCATGGGACTGAAGTCCTGAAGGTGTGCCACGACTCCCTGACACAATCGGGCTGCATCGACTGTTTGCTGCTGACTCACTGACCAAAGTGACCCGGCGCCCCCCCTGACCGCTGACACCCCCCCCACCCAAACTTGAACCAAACCTTCCAACAATAAGCAACAATCTGGTGATGGCGGTTAAAGGAAACCTTGTGAAGTAGGATGCAAATATGTGAACCAAGCGTTAAAAACAAATCTAGAGCGGGTGGTTCTGGTCCTCACAGCACACTTTTTTTTTAAATTTCAAAAAGTCTTTTTTAAATTTGGGGTTTGTGTTTCATGGTAGCACAGGAGGTCAGTTTGCACTGCAAGGATTTAATCTACTGAAGCACATCGTAGCCCATCGTTTAAAGGAACTGATGACATTATTTAAATGTATTTTTATTTGCCCGACGACTCGCTCTAGATTTGATTTTGCTCCGATGTAATTTGTCTCTGATTATAACGACTGTGTTCTGAACGGTGGTGGAGGGGTTTATTTCTCTACTGTCTGAAAATGTGATATTCCACTTTTGCCTAACCTTCAGGAATTAAAATGTCTTGCACAAACATTCCCCCTAACCAAAATAAAGTTTGCAAACACAGTGTTCACCTGTGGGTTTCTTTATTGTTTTCTGATAGTCAGCATGGCTCAAATACAAAAATACTAGGGGTGTAAGAAAATATTGATACACTGAAATATCGCGATATTTCATTTCCCGATACTGTATCGATATTCTAAAGCCCTGTATCGATTTTTTTATTAAGGTTTAAAATGTTAACTTTC